CCGCCGCCGCCGCCGCCGGCCCAGCGCCCCGCACGTCGTCCAGCTCGCGCGCCTTCTCCATCTGTCCTGCGGGTCCAGCCACTGAGTCCCGGGGCTCCCGCGGGCTCCGGGTTAACTGGGGCGGGAGGGGGCGGGGCGGCCCAGCCCGCACTTAATAGAGGGCGTGTTGGGGCGAGGATCTGGGCCCCCGGGGTCCTCCTCCCTCTGACTGGAGCAAACTTCCCCCAGATTTCCTTCCTGGGAATAGGAGTCCAGGCCCAGCCTCCTCCCTCAGATCCGGGGGGTCCAGGCCCAGCCTCCTCCCTCAGACCCCGGGGTCCAGTCCCCAGCCTCCTCCCTCAGACCCGGGGGGATCCAGGCCCAGCCTCCTCCCTCAGACTCCGGGGGTCCAGTCCCCAGCCTCCTCCCTCGGACCCGGGGGTCCAGGTCCAGCCTCCTCCCTCAGACCCGGGGGTCCAGGCCCAGCCTCCTCCCTCAGACCCGGGGGTCCAGTCCCCAGCCTCCTCCCTCAGACCCGGGGGGATCCAGGCCCAGCTTCCTCCCTCAGATCCGGGGATCCAGTCCCCAGCCTCCTCCCTCGGACCCGGGGGTCCAGGTCCAGCCTCCTCCCTCAGACCCGGGAGTCCAGGCCCCAGCCTCCTCCCTCAGACCCCGGGGTCCAGGCCCCAGCCTCCTCCCTCAGACCCCGGGGGTCCAGGCCCCAGCCTCCTCCCTCAGACCCGGGGATCCAGCCCCCAGCCTTCCCCAGCCTCCACACTGCCTGTCAGTCCCAGTTTCCCCCAAGGCCAGCTGTGGACAGGGGCCTAGGACTGACCCTGACAGCACAGTGAGGAGTTACATCAGGGCAGGGATGGGGTTTTGGTTCATGAAGACCCTCCTTTCTCCCCTCTTCAGCCCCCCCCTCACCTGGGCACACCTGGGGACTGTCTGTGCTTGCAAGCAAGTTGCAAAGAGCAAAGCAAGGCCGGGAAGGTGAGCTGGGCAGGGAGGTGGAGGACCCCGGGGCCGCCTGGAAGCAAGCAGCCTCCAGCTGGGGTTTTCTGGGTGTTTGCACCCCTTCCTGCCTCCTCCTCCCTCAGGCCACAGATGGGAGGGAGGGATGGGGGGGGATGGTGGAGGCATGCTTGGGGTGGGGGGTAGGGAAACCTGTAGAGCCAGATGCTTTTGGTCAGTCACATCCCACACCTTGCCCAGGTAAGCCCAGAGTTGCAGAGAGAGGACCCAGAGCAGAACCCACAAGCACTCCCAGGTGTTACTTCATCCTCTCAACGAAGAGGGAGGAGCTGGCCGGGCTAGGTGGTACACGCCTGTAATCCCAGCATGCAGAGAAGGCTGAGACATGGGTTCCAAGACAGCTTGGGTGACATAGTGAGCCCGTCAACACACTTCCTCGGTACCACCCCTTCCCCCCCCCAAAAAAAGATAAACAGAGCCTTGAGCAAAAAAAAAAAATAGCTCAGCAACTGTGCCCAGGCCCTGAGTTCAAGCCCCAGGATCAGCACAAACAGGAGCAAATGATTGGCAGTGTACAGGGAGAGGTCACATCAGGTTTCTTGGTACCCACAGTTCCACAGGTACTTCCTGTCCCACATTCCCCAGCCCAGGGCACCGAGCCCCATGCTGTCAGACACTGGGGGGAGCTGGGCTGCTACCCCAGTGATGACGCCATGTAATTGAGGGCTGCCTGTGTGCCAGGTCCAACCCTGTTGTTGTGTCCATATTGCAGGTCAGGAAAGCGAGCACAGAGAGGTCCAGGAACTCCCTTGACATTGCACAGCCTGGCAGCCAAACACTTCTGCAGACACACATGGTTAACATTGGTTGATTGTCTTCCTGTGTCTGGATGGGACCAGGAAACTGAGGCACGAGAGATGAGCTGATCTGCCCTGATGTGGGAAAACACCAGGGGAAGGGCCCAGAGATTGGGATTTCTGGGAAGGACAAACTAATCAATGCCTGCTCAAGGCTGGTGCTCTACCACTTTGAGCCACAGCTCCACTTCTGGCTTTCTGGTGGTTCATTGGAGATAAGCATTTCACACACTTGCCTGCCTGAGCTGGCTTTGAACCATGATCCTCAGATCTCAGCCTCCTGAGTAGCTGGGATTACAGGTGTGAGCTATGGGTGCCTGGCTTTTTTCCCCCCTTTGTTTGGTCATGGGACTTGAACTCTGGGCCTGGGCACTGTTCCTGAGCTCTTCAGCTCAAGGTGAGTGCTCTTTCACTTGAGCCACAGCGCCACTTCGTTTTCTAAGTGGTTTATTGGAGGTAAGAGTCTCACAGACTTTCCTGCCAGGCTGGCCTTGAACCGACAATCCTCAGATCTCAACCTCCTGAGTAGCTAGGATTACAGGTGTGAGCCACTGGCGCCTAGCTTTTTTTTTTTTTTTTAAGACAGTGTTGCTCTGTGGCTCAGGCTGGCTTCCACTCGGCATCTTCCTGTCTATAGTGCTGGAATTACAGGCTTGTGCCACCACTACTGGGTTAAAAACAAGGAGAGATGTTTTGGTGCTGGGTGGGGTGGGGTCAAACCCAGTGTCTCATGCATACTAGGCCAGTACTCTACCACTGAGCTACACACCCAGGCTTGTCTCAGGGCTTTTGCTGGACATTGTCCCCACCTGAGGTGCAGATCTCCTCCCATTCAGTGGCTCCCAGACCATGGACCACGTTTGGGTCACGAGACCAGGATAAACCCCAGAACTTAGGAGAAAAAACAAGGAAACAAAACTCAAAACTTCTACATAAAGCAGAGGAATCCCTGAGCGCCAATCTAGCTTCCTGGAAGAAGGAAGATCATGGTTCTAGGCCAGCCCAGGCAGAAGTCTCTGAGACTCCAGTGCAATCGTCAGACGCTGGGTAGAATGGTGTCTGATTATTCCAGCTATGGTATGAAATGAAAAAATAGGAGGATCATAGTCCAGATACAGGCCCAGGCAGGAAGTGAGACTATCTCAAGTAGCATATAGCTGGGTGCCAATGGCTCACGCTTGTAATCCCAGCTACTCAGGAGGCTGAGATCTGAGGATCAAGATTCGAAGCCAGCCTGGGCAGGAAAGTCCATGAGATTCTTTTTTTTTGGGGGGGGGGGTCCAGTTGTGGGGCCTGAACTCTGGGCCTAGGCACTGTCCCTCAGCTCTTCAGCTCAAGGCCAGCGCTCTACCACTTGAGCTACAGCACCACTTCCGGTTTTCTAGTGGTTTATTGGAGATAAGAGTCTCACGGTCTCTCCTGCCCGGGCTGGCTTTGAACCGCGATCCTCAGATCTCAGCCTCCTGAGTAGCTAGGATTACAGGCGTGAGCCACCAGCGCCCAGCTGTTCATGAGATTCTTATCACCAATAAACTACTCAGAAAAAGCTGGAAGTGGTGCTGAGGCTCAAGTGGTAGAGCGCTAGTCTTGAACACAAAGAGGCTCAGGGACAGAGCCCAGACTCTGAGTTCAAGCCTCAGGACTAGCAAAAACATAAACAAAACAAAAAACAAACTAGTATATAAAAGGGCTGGAGATGTGGATCAATGACAGCGTTAGCCTTGAGCTGAAGAGCTGAGGGACAGCACCCAGGCCCAGAGTTCAAGCCCCAGGGGTATAGCTGGAAAGTGAATTCTAATACAACATTGCAAACTGGTCTCCAAGGGAACATGGGCAAAGGCCCCAGGGTAGAATGGGCCTCTGCAGAGCTGAAGCTAGAACCCACACCACCCCGTCCCAACAAGCTTACATTCTAGGTTTGGAACGCTCTCTGGAGATCCAAGGATTAAAGGTGTGTGTGGTCCCCAGCTTGGCACTGTTGGGAAGTGGTGGTGGGACCTTTAAGAGGTGGAGCCTAGTGACAGGTCTTCTGATGGGGGCAGGCAGGGAAGGGGGAAGGGGGAGGGTAGGCTACTGAAGGCACTCCTGGGACCCCTGTCTCTTAATTAATTTTTGTTGTTTGATTGGTTCTGAGATTTGAACTCAGGACACTTGGCCAGGTAGGTGCTCTACCACTTGAACCAACCACATCTCCAACACTTTATGCTTTAGTGGTTTTGTTTTGTTGGTCATGGGGCTTGAACTCAGGGCCAAGCACTATCCATGAGCTTTTTCACTTGCGCCTAGTGCTCTACCACTTTGAGCCACAGCGCCACTTTTGGTTTTCTGGTGGTTCATTAGAAATAGGAGTCTCATGGACTTTACTGCTTAGGCTAACTTTGAACCGTGATCCTCATCTCAGCCTCCCAAGTAGCTAGGATTACAGGTGGGAGCCACCAACGTACGGCTTTAGTTTTTTTCAGACTGAGTCTCACACCTTTGCCAGATGTCCAGCCTCTATCCTTGATCCTCCTACCTGCAGCCTCTGAGTAGCTACAATGACAGGAGTGTGCTAACACACTGTCCTGGAGTGTGGAAACTCCATCTGGGTCATTAGTACAGGGTGATCTTATCTCCAGCTCCCAAGCTTTTGCCAGATGTAGTAGTATTTCTGGGTCCCAGGGACTAGGGAATGGTCACACCATTTTTTTTTTTTTGGTGGGGGGACACTGTTCAACCCATTCCAGATAGAGGTCCCCTCAGGAGACAGGGATAAGCCTTGGGGGGGGGGCAGGAGAATCCAGTCCTACAGTCTGGTGATGGCTCCTCATTGATTGTATAGAAGGCAGCCTGGGTCCTCACAGCTTAGAACATTCTGCTCCACAGCTCTGCACGGCCACACCCAGCCCTTGCTTCGTGTGCTCCTGGTGGCCTGTGACTACTCAGAGAGGCTTCCTTGGTCACCTTCTGGCTCACCCGGGCAGGGCCTTCAATGGATTTCTTTACTGATTGTCCCCAGCTCAGGGCTGATGGAACGGTGGCTCTGCTTGCTGGGCAGGGAGGGCCAGGCCAGCCCTATGCCTGGCAGACCAGAAAGGGCGTCCAAGCTGCCCACTCTGCTGAGACACCAATAGTCACCCCATGAGCCAGCATGCTGCAGGGCCCCATTCTGCTGCAATCTCAGCGTTTGGGAAACTGAGGCAAGAGGACTGAGAGAGTTGGAGGCCAGTATGGGCTGTCTCAAAAACACAACAGGGGCTAGGAATGTGGCCTAGTGGTAGAGTGCTTGCTAGCATGCATGAAGCCCTGGGTTCGATGACCACATAAACAGAAAAAAACCAGAAGTGGCGCTGTGGCTCAAGTGGTAGAGTGCTAGCCTTGAGCAAATGAAGGTCAGGGGCAGTGCCCAGGCCCTGAGTTCAAGCCCAGGACTGGCAAAAAACAAAAACAAAAACACCCACAACCACAAACAAATGGAATAAACTGCAGCTGGGGGTGGGGGAGACAATGGCTCAAGCGGGAAAGGGTCCTCGTGGCAAGCACAAAATCTCAGTTCAAACCTCAGTACCATCAAAACAATTTTTAAAACAGGAAATGCAAATTGCTGAGTGCCACCCAGGCTGTGAGTCAGCCCGGGTTTGTGAACCTGGTCTGACTGGATCCACCGCTGTGCCTCGAACCCCATCACCAACAGCACACTTGCCTGGCTGACTTCGCGTTCATTTCTGGGGTGTGTGGGGTGTCCCCACTCCAGGCTGTGCTCCCCAGCTCTGCCAGCCCAGAAGCCTGGAAGGCCACTTTTTGCAGTGCCCCCAGCTGCTAATCTGGAAGATTTGGGGGAGGCTTTGTACGCAAGGTGGAGGGACTGGGCCGCCATATTAGTCAAGAGTCCTGCCAAGGGTTAGTGGCCTCTTGTCTCCATTGGTGAGGTGACCATCCATTTATACCCCCAGGAATGCTGAGGAACACGAACCCTGTATTAGCTGGGCGCTAGTGGCTCATGCCTGTCATCCTAGCTACTAAAGAGGCTGAGATCTGAGGATCATGGATCAAAGCCAGCCTGGGCAGAAAAGCCCATGATATTCTCATCTCCAATAAACCACCAGAAAACCAGAAGTGGCACAGTGGCTCAAGTGGTAGAATGCCCGCCTTGAGCTGAAGAGCCCAGAGACAGTGCCCAGGATGAGTTCAAACCCCACAACCAAAAACAAAAAACAAAGAACCTCTGTATTAAGAAGGCTGAGAGCTCCTGATGGCTTGGGGGTCTTGGGGGTCTATGGCCAGGCCCGGGCAAGGCCCGGGTGGGACAGGCCGGGGCTGCCTGGGGTCAGCTCACAGGGCTGGGCTGCCACAGAAATCTGGGCTACTAGATTCTGGTCCCCCAATCTCCCCCCAAGATGGCCGGGCAGAGGTGTCTACACAGCACACACCCAAACAAGAAAATGTTTTAATTGTAAAACTAACGAGGGAGGGGAGGGGGCGGGGCGGGGCGGGGCAGGAACGGGCCTCCCGGCCGCCACAGGACCGGAGGTGCCTGGCCCGGGTCAGGAGCCAGGGCTAGTGTTATAAAATGACAATATAAATAGACTTCTAGAAAACGGAGGCGTCCGGCGCGGAAGTCACTTCTGCACAGGCCTCACTGCCCCTCTTCAGCAACGGAGAAAAGGGGGTGCAGGGCTCTGGGGAAAGGCCACTCTTCAGACATTCATGATTGACCCCCCACAATGGCTCAGGGGGAGGGGGCTGGGAGCTAGGTAAGGTCTGAGATTGCCACTTGCAGGCTGAGGACAGAGTTGCTAGACTTTCAGTGTGTGAGGACACACACGCACACACGTACACACACGTACACACACACACACACTCACACAACACCCTCTCTTCTGGTGGTCTCTCTGCCCAGGGTCCCCGCTGCGGGTTTCCAGTGCTGGGTGGCCATCTCCTCCCTGGACAGAGCACCAGGAGGGCCTCGTCCTGGAGGCCGGGGCTCCGGAAGCCTCGCTTGCTCCCACAAGACACTCGTGTCATCTGAGGCCCCAGAATCAAACCCTGGGTTCAGTAGTGGGGTTCCTCGAGGCCCAGCGTGGAGGGCAGCGTGTGCCCACGGTGTCTGGCAGGCAGCCTCTGCAGGCAGGGCCGCGTGGTGGGCGCAGGGCAGCCCACAGGCTCTTTGGTTCAGGCCGCGCTGGGCTCATCTGGCGCGGTGCTGGCGCATGAGGGGCACGATGCTGGCGGGCGGGCCCGCCTTGGTCAGGAACGGGTGCTTCAGCAGCTCGGCCGCCGTGGCCCGCTGTGCCGGGTCACGCACCAGCAGGCGGTCCAGGAAGCCCTTCAGGGATGGCGACACCTGAGGGAGGAGACGGGCTCAGGGGGCGGGGCGCTAGGTACTGGCTCTGGTGCCAGCCCCACCATCCACCTGAAGGCCCCAGGGTAGTGAGTGGGCAGCAGCCAGGCCCTGGAAGACCCCCTTCCCACCAGGAGGGCCTGTGGCCTCCAGCCCCTGGGTCAGGGGTGTCATGTGCCACATGCCCCTCCCCGCCAGGCGGCCCACCTTGTGTAGGTTCTTCAGTCGGGGTGGCAGGTTGTCCCGGATCATCTTCATGGCTTTGAGGGGTGGCTCATTGAAGTAAGGGGGCTCCCCATCCACCATCTCAATTACCATTACCCCCAGTGACCAGATGTCCACCTGGAGTGGGGAGAAGCACGGCCGGGCTGGGCTTCAGGCGGCCAGGCCTTGGTGAGGCTGGGGCCTAGAATATGCCTGAGGATGCCCAGCTAGCCAGATCTTGCATGCTCCAGAATCCCTAGCTAACCAGGCTCAGGCTTCCTCTGGTGAAACCCCTCCCATAGGAGGGCTATGACCTAGGCTGCCCAATCAGAAATTGGGACATAGGGAAAGGCGTACATGACCTATGCTGAGCCAATCAGGTCCAGCCTTGGGATTTTAGCCAAAGTATCTAGAATGCCAGTGGAGGTCACAGGCTGAGATGTCCCCCGCTGCCAGGGGTTGGCTGTGGGGCCACAGGGGCCAAGGTGACACTGAGGAAACCAGTGTGCACAGACAGGGCTGTCTGAAGCCCGGTCCCCCAAACCTCTTCACAGCTTAAGGACTCAGCACTTCAGATTTTGGTGTTTTTTATTTGTTTTTTCCCCTTATGGACTTTTCTGCGTGGGCTGGCTTTGAACCATGGTCTTCTAGGTCTCAGCCTCCTGTGTAGCTATAATTACAGGTGTGAGTCACGAGTGCTGGCTCCTTTAGTTTTTTTTTGGGGGGGGGGTCCGGTCATGGGGCCTGAACTCTGGGCCTGGGCACTGTCCTTCAGCTAGTGCTAGTGCTCTACCACTTGAGCCACAGCACCACTTCTGGCTTTTTGCTTATGTGGTGCTGAGGAATCGAACCCAGGGCCTCAGGTATACAAGGCAAGCGCTCTACCACTGAGCCACCTTCCCAGCCCTCCTTTAGTTTTATTGTAATGAGCTTTCACGGTTTTCTTCAAGCTAGTATTCAATCCGGAATGAATGGAGAGATGAATACAGATACACACGCATGCGCCCTACCTCCTTTCCTTGAGACTGGCCCCTTCCCCATGCCAGCTGCTCCCACTGCCAGCAAGACAGCTAGGCCACCGCTGGGCTCACCTCTGGCCCGTAGGGAAGGCGGGAGATGAGCTCCGGGGCCATCCAGTAAGGTGTGCCAACCAGTGACTTCCTCCGTGGCACCTCCTTGCTCACCTGGGCGCAGAACCCAAAATCTGACAGCTTCACCTGGGATCCAGGGAGAGGTGGGAGGTCAGGGGCATTGGTCTGGGCAAGGCCACGCAGGGGTGTCCACCTATCTGCCAGCTTGGCCTTGGCCAGGGTGACTCCATTGTGTTGCCCAGAGATCAGAGCTGGGCTCTCGGATCTGACAGGTGGGCAGTGTGGGGGCTGCTCCCGGAGCCTGGGTGAGGATAGAGATGGGCCTAGCTTGGAGGGCCCATGTCCTAGGGTGGTTTCATTTCACAGGTCTCCTCAGAGAAATACATTCTGCTCACAGGTCTGAGAGTCACACAGCCCTGACCCGGTGTGTGTGTGAGTGTCGGGGTGTGTGTGTGTGTCGGGGTGTGTGTGTGTGTCGGGGTGTGTGTGTGTGTTCCAGGCACCTCAGTTCAGCCATGACCCCATCCTGGCTGTGGGCCCAAGCCTGTCCCCTCAGTGTCCAGGGATAGTCTGGCCCCTATTGACCTAGACCTGAGACTGAACCTGGACTCAGTGCCCGCCCACCCAGCCAGTGCTCACCCTGCCGTCGTGGGTCAGCAGGATGGAGTCACTCTTGATGTCCCGATGGATGACACCCTGAGCATGCAGCACAGACAGGGCCTGCAGCACGGCCAGGCACACGGCAGCGATCTGCTCCTCATTCATCCTGCACGTGAGGGAGGGATTGGGCAGACGGGGTCCTGCCCGGGGCTGAACAGGCACAGCCCCGCCTCAGGTGGGAAACTGAGGCCTAGGAAGTCAATGGCAGCCACACAGACCTGCCTCCATGGGGTGGGGCGAGGCCAGGAGAGCAGGCGCATGCGTACCTGGTGTGGGTGACGATGTCTGTGAGGGCGCCTCCTTCCAGGAACTCCATTACCACCCAGAGCTCATCCCCCACCAGGTAGCTGTTGTACATTTCCACCACGTTCTCATGCCGGTGGTCTCGCATGATCACCACCTGGATGGGGGGGAGGGGTCAGCCATGGCCTTCACTTGGCCCCCCTTCCTGGGTCTGGGCCTTGCTCCCCACTGCTGCCAAAAGCCAGCAGCCAGCTTGAAGGTGACGCCTCCATTCTGGGGGGTGTGCCCTTCACCCCGCACACCCCCATGCTTTCCTCTCTCATCCTGGCCAGTCCTGGCAGGTCTCTGGTGCTGTCTAAGGGAGGGAGAAAAGGGTCGGGGCCCAGGGGAGGCAAGTAGGAGGAGTGGTTAAAGGTTATGTGCACGTGTGCGTGTGCGCATGCGTGCACACACAGGCAGAATGCTGAACTCCGGGTACAAGGACTAGAAGGGAAAGGCCTGGGGACTACAGGGTCACTGGGCTTCCAGGGACCGGGCTGGGGCAGTGGGGGCTGTGTGGAGGACAGGAAGCAGGAGCTGGCCTTGCCCAGCCTCCAGCATCGGAAGAGGGAGACCTCACACCCATACCCCTGGGGGCCAGAGCCGGAAGTTGGACAGAACCCAGAGCTTGGAAGGGGCGGGATGGAGAAGAGCCCTAAAATTCTTGGCTGTGTGTGGGAAATGGCCAGGGACGCCAAGAGTGGACCCGAGCCAGGAGCTGCAGGGGAGTGGGTGGGCCCGATGGAGCTGCAGGAGACAAGAGGTGAGGATCTGGAAGGTCAGGTGGTCTTGGATGGGACCAAGGTGGGACTGGGGTTTGGGGAGGCCGGGCTGGGCTCGGGAAAGGCGCCCCACGTACCTCATTGAAGAGCAGCTCCCGCCGCTGCTGCTTGCGCAGGTCCATCTTCTTGACGGCCACCAGCTTGCCCGAGCTGCGCACGGTGGCAATGCACACAATGCCCGTGGAGCCCTCGCCAATCTTGATGAAGTTGTCCAGGTAGGAGCGTGGGTCCCCCGGGTCCACCACCAGCTGCAGAGCAGCCCGGAACTGCTCGTGAGACACTCGCTGGGGCTCCCGCTGTGGGGAGCGGGGTCCAGGGGCGGGGGGTGCAGCAGGAGCAGCAAGGGTGCGGGCTGGAGGGGCCAGCTGGGGCTCAGAGGCATGGGGGCCCAGCATGCCAGGGCTGGGGGCACCATGGGCTCGGGTGGGAGGCCGGGAAGACTGAGGGGCAGCCAGACCCCCCACGGATGGCCCATTAGGGGCCATGGTGTGTGGCTCCCCCTGAAACAGAAGAGAGGCAGTTGTGAGTGGCGGGTAGGACAGGTCCTGTGGGACTGAGGGACAGACACATGGGTGGTCAGGATGAGCAAATGACAGGGCTGGGCAGGGCTGGGGGGGGGGCACAGGGAACAGACAGGGAGCCAGGGCATCTTGGGGTGGGGTCAGGTTACCTGGGCACCCCGGGGTGGGTGGTCCGTGTCAGCCCGTGGGTATGTGTTAAAGGGCCTGCCAGCTGCCAGCTTCGCCCCACCGGCCAGGCCCGCAGGTTGGGGGGTGCTGACGTCGGGCCCAGAGAGGGGGCGTTTGTCCCGGGAGGACTCCTGGGGTCCTGTTGGGCTTTCCCTGGAAGACTTGGGCCTCTTCTCCGGGCCCCCCCTCCGCCTGTCACCACTGCCGCCACCCGCCTCACTGCGCCCTGTGGCCCGGCCTCGGCCTCCAGCCTTCTCTGGGCCGCCCCTGGCCGGGGGCCCTTGCTCTTCTGGCACCCCATTCTGCTGGCGGGCACGGGCAGGGGGTGGCGGGCTGTCTCTCCGCAGTGAGTTGGAGCGTGTCACCGACATGTTCTCAAACTCGTCGAGCAGCAGTGTGAGGGCCCCATCCTTGGCACCTTTGCTGCCTCGCACGATGGTCTGGGGGCCGGGGCAATGCGGGGTGGGGGCCGGGCAAGGAGGGGCACAGGACGTGCATCCGGCATGGAGACAGAACAACACACACACACACACACACACACACAGAGACAAGACAGAGACGGAATGAAGCAATGCTGTGGGTGAATGGTGGGGTGGATAGAGGGGGATGGGGAGGGACCAGGGGCCCTGTAGCCCCCCAGAACTCAGCTGCAGCTGTAGGAGCTGAAGGAGCAGGCTCAGCAGCCTGGGTGGCATCCTTGAGGTGCACCCCATCTTTCCCTAGCTCCCCAGACTGGGGAGAATCAGGCCTGTGGGAAGGAGGGAAGGAGGAGGGAGGGAGAGGCCAGCGCAGTCTGTAATCAGCCCTAGAGAGCCGCAAATTACAGGCCCCGCTAGGTCGGGCTGGGCTCAGTACTCTTCCCCTGCAGGCTGCCAAGATCATTAACCCCAAAACCACAATCCCTGCTCCTCTGGAGGCTGAGGGTGGGGTCCAGAGAGTGAGAGGGGCCTTGGTCCCAAGGAGAAGACAGAGACGGCCTCCTGGATACTCTGGGCACACCCTGCCTGGCTAGCCCCGCTCCTGGGGCTACGTGTCAGCAACCAGCTCTGGGGGAGTGGCTCAGGTGGGGAAGCACCTGGGATCCGTCCCAGACTGGGCAGGGGTTAGGGGAAGCAGCTGCCCCAGCCTTCTAACAGAGCATGTGCGTCTGTCCTTGAGGGCCTTGGTCTTTCCTCTAGTCTCCAGTCCTGCTACCTCTCAGCCCCTACAGCAGAGGCTGGCATGCAGGGAGAGGCGCAGAGAACCTGGCCTCACCCCAGCCACCCACAGGCCTGGCTGCCCCTGCCTTTCCTGGAAGGCTGGCCTTGCCAAGACAGCCCAAGAAAGCCAGACAGATAGCCCCCGGTGCAGGCTGTGGCATTAGGGCTGAGGTCAAGAGGGCCACGAGAAAACAAGGAGAGTCCTGGCCATGGACCGAGGGCCTCAGGCTAGAGCCTACCCAAGAGGCCCCTTGATGTGTCCTCTGACAGAGCCCTTCCTCCTGGGGGAGCAGGGTGGGGCTAGACTTCAGGAGACACAGTACAACCTGCTGCCAGGGACCTGAGGACCAAGCATGGAGCACCCTGGGGAGTGTGGGTCCTGATACCCAGCACCCATTGCTGGGCATAAATTATCCAGCTGGACATGAAGACTTGCTTTGAAGGATGGTCCAGAGGCCATGGGACTCAGAGCACCCTGTGGTGGGGGTGCAGGCTGACACTGGGCACTGGCTATGGTTACCTGGCTGACCCTGGGCTGGCAGCAAGAGAATGAATCAGCCGCAGGCCTGCCTGGGCACTGAGCCTGCTGACCAGTAGGCCTGGCCGCTCTACCCGCTGGGGACGAACCTGGCTGCCCTCCCAGCAGGCATCTGGCCCCGGGAGCCTGCCTGGCTGGAGGCCACATCTGGGCACCAGGACTACAGTAACTCTCACAATTTCCCCAGAGGCAGATGTGCGGGAGGAGGGTCAGGTACGGGAGGGCTGGGCTCTGGGGCGGGGGGAAGGGGAGGATCTGCATGGGCATTGTTGCGTACCTTGGGGGCCCCAGGCTGGATGGAGGTGATGCAGGCAGGGTCGATGAGGGGCTTGGGCCGCCGGGCTGACTCCTCAATCAGGCTCTGCCACTGGCGGGGCAGCCCCGTGAACTTCTGCTCGTGCTGGTCGAAGCCTGTGTGCACGCGATGCTCGAAGTTGGATGGTGCTGAGATTTCCACCCGCTTCTTCCTCTTCCCAAACATGGTGCCTGCCAGAGCCGGGGCTCCTGCCGGCCTGGGCCTGTGGAAGGAATCACCACAGGGGTAGGGTCAGTGCTGGGTGGAGAGTGGCCCAAACACACCCAGCTGTCCCTGTGCTGACCCTGGTCAGCCCCCCCAACCCTGCAGCTTCCCAGCTGGACCACTAGGGGGCAGCAGCCTCCTCCCTGGCCTCTGAGACCAGGCTCTGGGTCCTCCCAGGCAGGGGATGAGACTCAGAGCCCTTAGGTCCAAGACCCCACACAGCCCCTGTCCCCACCTCTGCCTCACATCCGATCAGCTTGTATACCAGGGATTTTGCCTGGAACTCCCTCCCTCAGAGCAACCCACGACTCCTTCCTTACACCCTCCTTCAATCCTCTGATTGAAGTCCCCAGCCCTCTGCCATTCTCAGAGCCTGCTTCGCTGGCTGAGTCTGGTGTTGGCACAAGCCAGACCTGGCACACTGAGCACTCAGGAAAGGGGTGATCCTGCCAGGCAGCTATCCCCCACCCACACTGTTGCCTAGAACTGATATAGGCTGGGGATGCCAACCCCGTGTTTGTTTACTCCTCCACCAAAGGCTAGTGAACTGGCCATGAGCAGTCTGCAAGGCCACACTCCCTCATTTTTTTTTTTTGTCAGTCATGGAGCTTGAACTCTGGGCCTGGGTCCTTGCTCAAGGCGAGCGCTCTACCACTTGAGCCACAGAACCACTTCTGGCTTTTTCTGGTGTTTTATTGAAGATAGGAGTCTCACAGACTTTCCTGCCAGGGCTGGCTTGGAACCACGATCCTCAGATCTCAGCCTCCTGAGTAGCTAGGATGACAGGTGTGAGCCACCAGCACCCGGCTTACACCTACCCCAATTTTTAGGCTCTGGGTCTGCAGTGGGGCACCTCGAACAAGCCAGCCCAGCTCGTGGCAATGCTCAGGGTAAGTGGGGTAAGAGGCAAAGGGCTGCAGGGGAAGCTGACGGTGGCACCCACAGGGAGTCCTAGAAATGATGGCCTGGGAGTGGGGTGTTCCCTGCACCTGCTGTGGCCTGGGGCACAAGGGGAGGAAGGGGCAGTGAAAGGAGGTGGGCGGGCACGCTGCCCCGCAGACCCTTCGGTGCCCTGCTCTGTAAACACGGGTTTCGAACGGCTTTGCTAGAAAACACTGTCTCCTTACTAGGGTCCACAAACTGAATTAAACAAACGCCCAACCCTGGCAGGCCGCTCCGCACCTCCTGTCTCACACACCTGATTGGAGGCTGGCGGGCTATAAGCGCCCTCGCACGGGTGGCGTCGCCTGTCGGGGCTGCGGCTCAGTCATCTGTGAAAAGGGACGAGACTGTGCACGTCTGTAACTCTCCATCAGGCCTCTGTGCGTGGCCATCTGCTGGCTGGTGCCAGGGCCATGGCGATGACCTGCACAGGCTCTGACCTCTGGGGGCCCACAGGAGGGGCAGCAAGATCTGTCCCCAGGGAGGTCAGTGACCTGCAGGGACATCCTTGGAGGTGGCTGCTGAGGGCAAGGCATGTTGGGACAGGGGCACCAGTGGGGACCTCTGTCTCCTTCCCAGAGGGTTCCCCCAGCGTCTGGCACAGTGCTGGGCACAGGCTCAGCTTCAGTGGGCTCTCCTGGATGACCTTCCAGAGGAAGTAGCTCAGGAAGGGAGGGGAGTACCAGCCTGGAAGCAGGATCAGGGACGGGGCAGGACGCCAGCCTGGGAACTGGTTTGGCAGCTGCAGTTCAGTAGGAGGTGGGTGGGAGCGGGCACCCAGCCTGTCTCAACGGGCCCCAGGAGGCCGGAGCCGCCTGCCCAGGGCTCTCCCCACCTGCTTCTCTGCTTGCCTGGGTCACTGGATGTGGGCTGAGGCATCTTAGCTTCTGCTTTGGGGTCTCAGACAGCCATTCCTGCAGTCCTGATCTGCCCCGGGCTCCTCATTGCTTTCCTCTGTGTGGTCTTGCAGTGTGCCCATGTGCTGTGACCTTTCGGCCTTCTGTGTCCGGCCTGCCCTCACCTTGAACTCTTGGCACAGGCTCTCAGCCCCTCCTCCCCAAAGCCCCAATGCAACTGGCAGGGGCAGGAACCACTCATAGCCCTGGAGGGGAGGGCAGGGGGAGGGGAGGAAAGGGATAGAAGTGATTGGCTGTTTCCCTTCTCCTCTCCTGCTGTGCAGTCTCCCCCATCACCCCTAAGCAGGGGAAGCAGAAGAGGGGCACACCTACGGATATTTGCCTGGGCCACCCCTTTCCTCTGGGCACCGCACGGAGGGCAGGACAAACAGAGGAACTGGCCATGTTTATAGTGACCAGGCAGAGCCCCACCCAGTTCCAGGCCAGCTCAGAGCCTTGCTGTCAGGCAGTGGGGGAGGGGAGGGAGCCGAGGGGAGGGGGCTATGTGGCTATATCCCTCCTGGAATGGCCCAATGCCACCCATACCAGAGAGCTCAACACATGGCCTGACCAAGCAAGACCGTGCCTCAGTTTCCCCTCTGGTAAAGACAGGGATGGCTGTAGCCGGAGTCACACAGAACAAGGCACTACAGGCCAGGCCCAGGGCCACCAGACACCACACTCAGTGACCATCACGATGATACCAGCAGCTGGCAGGGACTGCACGCCCCTTGGGTGCCCCCGCCCCCCAACATTCTGTCTGGCATCCTGCTTGCTCTGTGCTCCAGCCCTAAGAGGAAGGGGCCACTGGGAGCCATGTCACCGACCAGCAGGTCCAGGTCCTGCGGGCTTGGTGAAGAGCAGTATGTGCTGGCCCGATCATGCACCTGATGCTGAGCCAGTGAGAGGCTGGCAGGACTGGATGCTGGGCATCTTACCTGCCTGCCGTCTGAGGACGGTGGCCTGAGGTGTGTGTGTGTGGGGGGGGAGGTTCTGTCTATATTACTCTCTTCTCTAAGGCTGGCCCTGATCCCTGCCTGTTCCTCCCACCCAGACCATGTCCCTGTCCCCTCCTATCTGGCTTGGCTGGCTGCCATGGATATCAATTCCTGATCTAGAGCTGCTTAACCAACTTTTCTGCAGGCCCTTGGCAAGATGGTCCATCCCAGAACATTTGAGAACCAGTCCTTGCGGTGACCAGGCTCCCTGGCGCAGCTCCAGTGCCAACACTGTCCTGGCCACCACCGAGAGCGGGAGGGGCCTCCTGACCCGACCAGTGTCCACCTGGAGCTCAGAGGCCCCCTGTACCCCCTGAGGCACCAGTCACCTGAACCATCTCACAGATGCGTCCACTCATGAAGGTGATGTGGAGCTGGTCCTGGAGGTGTCCAGCAAACTTTACAGGTGAAGTTCTTAGCCTCTCTCCTGTACCCCAAAACTCATCCTGGAGGCCCAGAAGGCCTGTGGGATGGGATCTGCCCATCCTCTCTCTTCCCTAGCCTCTAGCTCCTCCCACCTCAGGCCTCCTGGGCTCCATCATACTGCTCACACTGGGGTATAGATGCCACAAGGGGTGTCCGCCTCTGCCCTGGAGAGTCAGCCCCACAAACCAGGGATGCTCCCTGCTGGACCCCAATACCTACAGCACTGCTCAGCCCCAGGAGCACTCGATCCCCTGAGGATGATCAGTCTCTACCTGCTGCTCCTGCTCAGGACACCTCAGACGCCCCTGGAAGAGGGGACCTCGAGGCAGAGTGGCCAGGGGACTCAAGCAGGGACAGATGAGGAAGAGGAGCTTGTGTGTCAAGTAAAAGAGCACCAGCTGAGCAGGTGAGAGACCCCTAGTTCAAAAAGCACCCAGTAGTGCCAAAAAAAAATGAATTCTAATGGCCGAGTCACCTGCTCCTGAACCCACACATTCTCCCCTCTGAACTTCATGACAATACTCCCCCACCCCCCTCCCAGGTAACCCAAGGAGTCAGCCCGGGGAAGGACGAGGAGAGTGTGTTGTGTGCACACGTGTGCACATGTACGGCCCTCTCCCCTGGGCTCTGAGGAAGGCATGGAGGGCCTGGTGCACCCCATGCCCAAGTGCTCGGCATCCCCTGCCTGCACTCAAGGCCACTGCCATCGGTCCCCACCTATCCTCACTGGTGTCTTTACCAACCTCTCTGCCTCAGTCTACCCCCGCTCTCCAGGGCTGGGCTCTGAACACACAGGGTAGCCTAGCTTGCCTCTGCAGCCCACAGCAGGCTCGCCACTGCCGACCTGAGCACTCCCACTTTCCTGAGCCCCCTCAGGACCCCTCCAGGCACCCTTGGAGGGGTGAAAACAGGGCGGCGGGGGCTGCCTGGCTCCCATGGCTGGCTGACACCCGGCCCTGCAGGGCGCTCTCGGAGGAGCAGGGGGGCAGGTGACAGTCACCAGTGAGACCCGTGGGAGGGCAGTCTGGGCTCAATGGGAAGCAGCAGTGGGCATGGGGAGAGCCAGGGAAGCCAGGAGGTGCCCACTCTGGGGAAGGCTCTGTGTACCCAAATGCCCCCACCCCAAATCCTACCTTCTCCCTCTTCTTCAACAGCCAAGTGCCCACTGCCCCCAGTGTCCGTGCAGCCTTCCTGCAGCCTGGCTGCTGCCCAGGGCCGAGGCTGCTGCTCGCAGGGGCTCAGGGCAGCCCACGCCTCGGTGCCAGCTTTGCCGTCCCCAGCTGTGGAGCCTCAACAAGCCGATCAACCTCTCTGAGCTGCAGGGCCACCCGTGAGCTGTGGGTACCAGCAGTCCCTGCCTCGCAGGCATGTTTGGAGGGGCAATGGAACAACTCAGCATGGTGGGGCCGGGCCTCGCTACAGGCTCACTGCCAGCCACTGCTGCTGCTGGCAAGGTGAATGAATGAATGCATGAAGGAATGAACACACATGTGGAAGTCGGCCCAGGCAGCCCTTCAGAGGGTCTCACTTTCTCCAGGCTAGGCAGCCATGGTCTCAGGCTGGGGGCGGAGGGGGAGTGTGGCTGAGGGAGGATACAGTGTCTCCTCCACCTGGCCATATTCAGCCAGCCCGGGCCCCAGCCCAGGCTCCAGTCCATGGCAACCCAGCCTCCCTCCGCCCGGCAGCAGCCTGCTGCCTCCTCCCACAGTCCCCACAGGAGGCTGGCATTGGAGGCT